GTACTAAATAAAGGAATCTGACTCGACCCTCTCCCCTTTCCCCATTCCCTAGTCCCCACAGGCAGCATATATTATATGGTCAAGAGCAAAGACACAAACAAACGAAAAATAATTTGTTAATGTTGCTGGCAAATCTTGAAAAAACACCAAACAGTAAGTGTAAAGTGTAATAAAACAGAAAAGAAAGTTGGAATTCGATCGAAAAATCAACTGACAATATGAAAAATTGTCCAAGTACTTATAAATATATACAAAGCTCTCTTATTTTTTCGATGTAAAATTTACTCTCAACACGTTCTCCACTGACGTAAGTATTAAGCAAATGGAGGGAGCCAATCAGGGAGCAAGACAGAAGAGATGAAACCACAAATTGCCGTGTGGCATGACGTTGAGTTTGATTACTTGCCCTACTAATGTTGGAACCACATGGTGAGACAAAAGCACCGACATAGGACATTAAATTCCAATTGCAAATATTAAAGGTGATATTTTGTTTTACCATTTTCAAACGTTATATGATGATCGAAATTATAAGCAATTATTTAAAAGTTAACTGCGTAAAATGAACTAAATAAAAAAAAATGTATAAGCAACTAAGTATTTAATTGAAAATATATAATTTATCTGTTTATTTGATGATCTTTAGATGACTAAATATTTTTTAATTTAATAATTCTGTAAAGAATGATCTTTAGATTACTAACATCTCTTAATTTATAACACTTTTTCTCTCTACCACTAGTTTTGTAAATATATTTTTGTTCACACACACTAATAAATAAACAAACAAATAGAGATTATATAAAGCTCAAATTCCTAAAAAGAACAGGAAAATGGCCTTGATATTGGAAGTTCCTGAAAAAAGTGAACCGTGACTTGTCACCAGTTGTTCCTCCTTTAAAAAAAAACATAACATAACTAATGTCCATGACCATAAGTCATATTTAATTAATAAAAAATATATTTGTAAGTACCAAACTTAGTTTTTTTTTTTTTTGTTGTCATATACCAAACTTAGTTATTAATAATATTAAATATAAATTTAGGCGAAAGTGAAAGCGACAAATGGGAGGCTAGAAGGGCAGTAAAAGTTGGGAAAGGAAGAAAGAAAAAGCAGTCAACGGTGGGCTAACGTCATCCGGTTACCAAAGATGAGGAACAAAGGCTGAGAAAAGCCGTCATGTCGTTTCGCTTTAACGGCTCAAGGAGCTATGGCCAAATATTTATATTATTCACCATTCTCTAAAGTAGTAACCAGCATTGCCTCTTATTTTAATTTTTTAAAACGATAGTTGCGTCAGACTTTGCTCAACAAAACTACAACATCATCACCATTCAGATCATGGAAGTATTTTAAGTAGGAGAACAACTTATACATGTGTATTCCGTCTCGTTGGAAATGTTTTTAAAATGAATTAAAGTGTTTTTGTTCAAATTATTTTTTAATTTTAAAATTACTTGAAGTGTTTTCAGCAAGAAGCATAAAATAGTACATTTTGTAAAAAACACTTCAAATATTTTTTCATAGTCATTTACATCTTTACTAATGGATGATTCCAAAAGTGTTTTCAGTAATTTTATAAACACTTTCAAATGAGCTCTTCATTTCTCTAAGTGTTTTGATTTAGTGTTGTTAAATAGAGAGAAGTTTAAACAATATTATATCATGCTGCTACGTGACATTAAACTCGTCCATCATGGAGAGAGGGGAAGTGCATGCCAAATAAAGAAAACGGTAATGTTAAAGAAACTAAATTTGTAAACTAAATGATATGGAAGTTAATGATTTAATTATTATTTAAGCGTTAATAAATATGTTCATTTTATTGATGACACATCATTAAGTTTATAAGTTTTATTCATAAATGCATTACCCCAAAATAAAATATTTGGTCAAATAGTTGCATGCCGACCTAATATACCATAAAGTTTCTTCTTCGTGCTGCTCCGGACCCATAAAATGCTTTCCATAAAGATATTAAATTCATAATTAACTGTGTTTACGTTTTACTAATTTAAAACAAGCGTGAACTTCACTAGTGTTTCTTTTTAAGTTTAAAGCGAAACCGTAAACTTGTGTATATGGAGCCGAATTCAGTGTGTTCATACACTACTATGTGATACACACATATACTACACTTTGAGCGGATTACAATAGCATCGACAAGTTCGAATAAAATTATTTGAACCATATTATTGATCACTTTACCTACTCTCACATTTTAGTAAAAGTGAGGCTTATTCCTTTGGAACCTTTTTTTTTTTTTTTTTTTTTGTTATAAATGCTCATTCCTCATTTGGGATATTTCTGGGCACTCCGGCCTGTTTTTTCTCTGCATGTTCCTCTCTAAATGGTAAACTGATCATATATTACCAGTCTGAATAATGAATCAGCTGCTAGCTGATAACAGAGAAGAAGATAAACGTTGCGACAAAATCCCAAAAAGCTGAGGATTTCATCACGCGACCTTTAAATTCATCCCTGCCAAATGCCACACAACGATACAACTTTTGTATTTACCATAAACAATTAGACCGAACACAACTTTTGTACGATTGAATCTAATATTCTTTATTGGTTTTCTCCCTTTCCCACTTAAAAAGAATTAGATTCCCGAGAGTCAAAGTTTACTCCTCCACCGTCCACCCCCGGCCGTCCGATGAATTGTACATTACCATCCTACGGCCACAATTTTTTATACAATGAAGTATGTTTTTAATATGCACCAGTATATAGTACACAATACAAATCTTTTGATGTTAGTTTATCAGCAATAAGCTATATATATTGGCCATTTACAACATCTATTCATGCAATGCATACTATGCACGTATACTGTGGAGCATAGGAGATTTTTTTATGGTATGAGTCCCTTGATTTGTTTGTTGAAAGTTTAAACTTTAAACCGTTGGATTCCTTTGAGTTTTGGCCATATAGTCATATAGATAGTACGTACGTTGAGTGGAGGGACATTCATGCCTGTTGTGTCATTTCAATCCTTTAAGCCCTTGACAAAAAAAAAAAAGAGTAGTGCAGAAGCCTATATGTGTTTGTGTGTGCACATATACAAATATATATATATATATCGAAGTGTTTACAGTCCAGGCTCTTTCATAAAATAAAGGAAGTCCAGGTATTCACGTGCTGCATGTATATATACGTGGGTGTATACATGATGCATGTAAACAATATTTACAGATATACGTTGGTATGGCGTATGCGTGAAGACAGAAAAGGGAAGAGGGTAGAAAATTAAATAAGAGGCAGACAAGTGACGAAGCAGAATCGAATAATATCAAGTTCTTTTTCTTCGCCCAGCTCCTGCTCCAGCTGGGACTTTTATTAGGCCATGCATATCCTTCGCGCCCAGGACATACCCTTAATTGCTTGCCTCTGTGCCTGTGCACTGCACTGCCTCACCTCTTCACTCTTCAGTCTGCCGAGAGCTAGCGACCCCAAAAAACTAAACTACAAGCAGAAAACCCTACTTTTTCCTGCCCAGCCTGTACGGACTTCATCTCTCTCTCTCTGGGGGTTTTGTTTGGCTTGGTTTGGCTCTATCCTTTATCTGTAATATTAATTAGAAGTACTATTACTGGAAATTGATCAGCGAGATTCAGGAAATGTTATATATATGAAACCCTAAATAATGAAAAAGCTACTGCCACACATTGGACATGCTGCATACATGTCTAAGCATGCGCGCTGTGAGCCATGGAGCCAAGCATGCATGTTCCCCCACCTATTGCTACATTTATTCATTACAAATAATTCAAAGCCAATAAAGCTAACAAAACATTATTAGTAATTTAGTATAGTAGTACTATACTCGTTAATTAATAAGCCACTTAATTTGATTTATCCCTCTTATTTTGTCAAATCGAATCAATTGAAGTAGATTAATAAACAAAAATTAATAAGAGTGTGTGTGAGGTAAAAATGATGTGCATGTGAATAACACTACACTATAACTTTATCCTAGTATCCCCTTTTTGAATTAACGTAGACTTCAACTTGATGCTTCCCATAGATAAGATTTTGATACATGCGATAGTCTACGCTAAATTCATCTAAATGACATAGAGGAAGAGTCTAATTTTGTTAAGAAGAATAGTATATTGTTGTAGCCAACTTAACTAAACTTATGAAGTTTGAAAATTAATAAGATTATATTCTAGAGAAAGATTAATAGGCACATATCTATTAGTATTAAGTGAAAAAGATGAACTCAAAGGATAAAACGTATAAAATAGTATAAAATAACTAGTAATGAATATGAATCCCCATCCCCCGACATGCAATATAGAAGAACAAGATAATATATATACCAGATTTTGTATATATGGAAGAATTTGTTTTCGATAAGACAGAAATTAAAAAGCGTACTAATCCATTATATACAATAATACATCATGGAGCTTGAGAATATTCATCTAATCCTAATTTAGCTCTGCCGGGGTCTACAAAATTCGATCTAATCCAAAATTACAATTTTCCAACGGTATCAATAGCATTTTGTTTTCTTAATTAGAATAGCATTCCGAGGGTAAATTTTTCGTCAACAGAAGGAACAAAGGTTTGTGATCAGCACGTTCTTGCTTTTTTTAATTTTATAAATTTGATAATTAATCGGATGGCGTAGGGCCGACAACAAGGACGGACGCAGCCGTCTATTGCCCAACTCTCTCCTGAAAAAGCCTGACCTTCATGTCTCCTCTCCTCTCTATATTATAAGCTCTCTTGTTTGTATTATTATTCTCCATTAATTTCAAAATTTATTCAAATTAATATAAGAAAATCTGACTTTTTTATTATAAATATTATTGCAGAATTAAAGAAAACTTGCATGCGCTGACGACTACAATATTAGATTTAGACCCACTATTTTTATCTTTATTCCAAGAATACCCATTAAATAAATAAAATATAACGGAAGGAAAAAAATACCCTTCAAAGTTGAACCAACAGGCCTATAAATACAGACCCTCTTCTCCTCCATTCATCACCAAAATCTCACATACTCGTATTACTGCTCCTCTGAACTCCCAAGTACTTAACCAGAAAGCCGCTTTTCTAGTCAGATATCTATACATTCCTTCGCTTCACTTCAACCTGAACCCTAACCTCCTCAACAATTTAAGCTAGCACAATGCACTACCAGACCGAGTCATGGGGCTCCTGCATGCCCACAAGAACCTCCATGGGCATAGAGGACCCTCTGGAGCGCATAGAGCGGATGGCGTCGGAGAGCGCGGTGGTGATATTCAGTATAAGCAGCTGCTGCATGTGCCACGCCATCAAGCGCCTCTTCTGCGGCATGGGCGTCAACCCCACTGTGTACGAGCTGGACGAGGACCCCAGAGGTAAGGACTTGGAGAGGGCGTTGATGAGGCTGCTGGGGACCTCCTCCGCCGTCCCCGTCGTCTTCATCGGTGGCAAACTCGTCGGCGCAATGGACAGAGTCATGGCCTCTCATATCAACGGCACTCTTGTTCCTCTTCTCAAAGAGGCCGGGGCTCTCTGGCTCTGAGATTTGTTCGTTCTCTTCTGTCTTGAGATAGTTTTTGTTGTACGAAAGAAGGGAAAACAAAATCATGATTTGTACTGCTACTTAATTAATTACATAAGGGCAGGCAGGCGGAGGAAGAGGAGTGGCTTTTGTGAGTCCACCTCCGTTTTGGACACACTAATTAATCACTAATGTCACTTAATTAGCTAGTTAATTGTTCATCTGGGTTTCCTTTATCTTTTCTCGAGGGTGTTGGACTGTCTTCAGGCTTTTACTGTGAAGAGATTTTTCAGTGTGACTGATACACGGGGTGGTACACCACGTATCACTATACAAATTGTGGGATATGTATGCTAAAAAGTTAATAACTTAAAAAATAAAATTTTCCATCACTCCTATTAAAACACGTGGTGTATCACTTGTGTTTCCGTCACAACTAAAAATTTCTCTTTACTGTGGGCATTCAGAGATGAAATTTTTAGTTGTGACGGGAACACGGGTAGTACATCACGTGGTTTTATGTAAATGATGGGAAATTTTATTTTTTAAGTTATTAATTTTTTACCACACATATCCCACCATTTATATAGCAACATGTAGTGTACCACTTGTGTGACAGTCACACTGAAAAATCTCTCAATTCATATAGATGTGTAATTGCTCCCTCCTATGTATACAAAAAAATGGAAAGAAAAAAAAAGAGTTAAATTTTTTACTTTAATCTCCACAACCTTGTCTTTGTCTCTATCTCTTGTTTCATTGATTTATTTGCATTTTTGGAGAGCCAATTAACAATATTGTTACATTTTTAGGCTGCGTTCCATGTCTTTAATTTGCCATATATGTAAATTTTCAAAGAATATTAAGCGTAGGAAGAAGAGAAGGGGCAACAATATTTCCTTTTGCAAACAAAAGGCTAGCTTTTTTTTTTTTAGTATATCGATATTTTTATATTAAGGGAATGAGAGTTCGATAAAACAAAACAATGAGCAGCCTAATTTGGTATTAAATTCGTCATTTACGAGATTCGAACCTAAGATCCCTAACTTCCAAATGAAGAGGAATATCACCAGACTGTAGTACTGAGTGGCAACAAAAGGCTAGCTTTTAGATATTAACGGCATCGGTTTTAAGCATAAAGCAGTGGTGCCAATGCGTCACTGACTTTTTTCTTATAATGTTCTCACGTAATTCAAAATTCTAAAATACAATTTTGCAATGAACGACCTTATTAATATTCTCGCGTACTTAAATACATGAGTTATATATCATAAACACGCCGTACGCGATTTATATATTGTAAACACACTATACGCGCTTTATATATTATAAACACGTCTTATATAATTTGTCACTAATAAAAAACAAGCCGTAGCACTCATGTTATGACGAAGCATGTGACCGTTTCATTATCATTCTTCGACTTTTGGAGTATTTGCATCCACATATCTCTCAGGTTTGCGCCGCACAATTTGCCAGTTTAATCGACTCCGTTATTTTTGCTGTGATTGATAGATACCCAACTCCACTGTGGCAGCCACCAGACGTTGACGGTCCATGATCAAGCTTTGACTGGCCAGCTCATTGAATCGGTAAACTTTTCCACGGTGATCATGATAAATGGATGGATGGTAGGCTCATGTCTTTTCCGTTACGTGGAATGGGACCAATGGGTCCCGCTACAACATCGTAACCCTCGTAGCCACGTCCTACAACAACATAGTCAAATTCCACCACGCAGGAGGACAGGACGTCAAATGATGATCTAGGTTTAGTTTAGCAGGTGAGCCGGTGGTGTGACTGGAGATAGATGTGTTAGAGAGATTTTTCAGTATGATCGTCACACGAGAGGTTACACTATGTATCCTCATATAAATTGTGAGATATGTGTGTTAAAAAGTTAATAACTTAAAAATTAAAAAATTTCACCATTTACATAAAAACACATGATGTACCATCCGTATTTCTGTCACAATTAAAAAAATTTCACCTTGTTGCATCTTCCTATTGCTATTTCAGTATTTGTGAGTGACGAAATTGATAAATTATGACAAAAAGATGGACTAGTGATGATTTAGACGAGAATCAGCATTTTTAAATCACGAAATGCTCGGTTTCTTACCAGGGGTGATGGCATGTAGATCTATAAAGTTGACACATTTGGTAAGAAGGTTTCAATGTACCAAAATATCGACACAAGGTGTTGCGAACTTGCGATATACTTAATTTCAATGTGTTTTTGTTTTTTTATTAGTTGAAGCGGTACATATCAAAATTGTGGTGCGTATATTATATCTCGTGAAATGTTATATTACGTGGAAAATATTTTTGTACACGTAAAATTTTCACCGCATGGCCGATGTATTTTTGTAAAATAAATCTAAGAATCATTTTGATTCGAGTCCCTGATCAATCTAATTAGTAGACCAAATATCAGTACAATATTTATTACAAAAGAGTGAAAGAGAATGGAGGCTCCCGAAGTACATTCTATTGGGAATTAGACTACATCCGATCGTATGTGACTAAATTTGGAGCAGTGGATTAGAGTGAAGTTATATGCTCATGCATTGGTTGAAAATATTTTTTTTTTTCAAGTTTGCAAGTAATTACCATTACACCTTAATATACCGAACTGTATTCCGACATTCTAGAAAATTTGACCCAAATGGAGCATCATCTTTCTTGGATTAGTGTAGGGTAAATTACACAAAATTACCTCAACTATAGGTAGCGCCACAATTTCATACCTCATGTTTTAAACATTGCAATGTCAAACCTCAACTCACAAATTCGTTGCAATGTCTAATAGTGATTTCGTCAAATTAGCCGTTAAGTGCTGATTTGGCAATAAATGGCCCATATATTTGCTGACGTGGCAACCCACTTGTGCCATTAAAATATATATATATATATATATATATAAAATAAATCATTTAAAAAAAAAGAAATTGTTATTAGCCCTTCAAGAATCTCAGTCTACACTCCAAACTTTCTATATTAGAAAAGAAAAATACACTTGTGAAGAGTGTAAATTCAGATTTTTTGAGTACCAATAACATTTCTCTAAAAAAAAATGATTGTCAAAAATTAAATTAAAAAGTGTGGGCCCCACCACCTTCAAATCACCGAATCCACCTTCTTTTCTAACATCTCCCCAATCAGTCTGGAGATCTCAAATTCCGATCTGAAATCGAGGTCCGAACTGTTGTTGCAGTTTTCATTGAAGCAGTTGCAGCGGTTCTGGCTACACCTCGTCACAGCCAATGATTGCTTTTCGTTGCTTTCCTCGATGAAATTCTGAACCATCTTTGTCAAGAACATGGAGCTCGGCTCGAACTCGGCTGATCCTCCGCCGTCGCCGTCGCCGTCGTCTTTGTTGAAATGCAGCTCTTTGATTCCAATTCCACCGTTGGGCTTCTCCGTGGCCACCGAGCTTTTCAATACATTCGTGAGCTTAATCGAATTTCCTCCATTTCCACAAAGTTAAAGCTTCCTCTTGAGCTTAATAAAAAAATCAAGCTTGATTCTCTACCTATTATACAATCAATTTTCTCTCCACAATCAATTTCAAAATTTGAGAACGAAAAGGGCGAAGAGGGTGGTGATGGTGCAAGTTGGGAGGTGGGTTAGGGGTGATGGGGGCTGAGATGGGTTTTGGGGGTTTGTGGTGAGAGTGTCGCAGAGGGGTTTGAGGGATAGTAGGGATTGAATTGTGTTGGATTTGGTTTTGAATCAACGAGTGGGAGTAGGAGAGAAGAAATGTTTGAATTTAGGGTTTGGTTTCAGGTTTGAATTCAGAGTTTAGTTTAAACGGAGGCATGGCAGAGAATGGTTTCAGCGTTTGAATTCAAACTGAAATGGGAGGTCGGTGAGAGCATAAGGCTGGTATGAGTGATTTAATTTTTTTATTTAATTTTGACATAAATTTTTTTTTTTAAAATGATTTATTTTATATATAAAAAAATGTGAGTGGCACAAGTGGACTACCACGTCAGCAAATATCAATGTTCTAAAAAACGGCCAAGGCGCTAGGCGGTGGTGAGCCGAGGCATTTTCTTGCAAATCGGTTGGAAAATCGGATGGGCTCTAGGCGGGGCTAGACGGTTTTTTTTTTATAATGAAATTAAAAACCAAAATAAAAAATCCTATCTAAATCTAAGTGGTTTAAATTTGTGAACTTATTGTACATATGTCATCCTACAATACTCATCACTATGGTTATATGGCGTATATGCTTAATGTGTTTTTAAATTTTGGACTTGTTGGATACTCTTTTTGCATTTTATCATTTTTTTATTATCTTATCCATATATTTCATACAAGTATAATTTTAGGGATAATTTGATTGCGGTCTCTAATCATTAACATTCTTTGATTAAAACCTAATAGTATTCAAAGTTTGATCAAGGTCCCTTGACTTTGTACACCTCATTATATTACTATTAATATTTATAGTTTTGACATTAATTATTTGATATTTTATGAGATTTATAATCCTATAAATTTAAAATCCCTCATTATAATACTATTAGAAACGGTTATAATAAAAAAATTTAAACATTTTAATTAAATAAATGGATAAAAACTATGTAAAAATAAGAAATAATAAATGGCAAAAGAATGTATCCATAGTGTTAAAAAAAATAGTACATTTCACATATAACAAAGTGGTACATTAATAAAGAAGAATGGGTACATTATAAATAAATTAGGGTACAAATAAAATATTAAAAATTATGACTACAAATGAATTTTTTAAAATATAGGTGCTAAAAGAAATTAATAAATGGGTACAAAATAAAACTAAAAAGAAAATACTACAAATTTAAAAAAAAAAATGTTGCAAATTAAAAGTGGGTACAAACTAAAAGTATAAATATATGATACAAAGTTTATGCATAAAACGTAAATATACCTTATGTAATTTTTCTATCATTGATTAAATATATAATGTCATGTGATGGTATACACATGGGTATAAACACAAATAAAACTTTAGAAAACATGGGCACAAAAAGAAACTAATATATGGGTACAAATAAAAAATGAAAAGAAAATTGGTACAAATTAAAAAATATTTGCAAATTAAAAAGTGGTACAAACTAAAAATAAAAATATATGATAACAAATTTAGCCATAAATATAAGTATACTAATTGTAACATTTTTAACACTAAAGGAATCTATTTAAAAATAAAAATATTTTATTAGTCAAATAATTAATGATGTTATTAATACCCAAAGACCTTGATAAAAATTTGAAATGAATAGGATAATTTTCCCATAATTT